CCCCCAGCAGACCAGGGAGATGCGGAGCAGCTTTTCTCAGCAGACACCTCAGTTTGAGAATAATACCCTGAGGGAAGTGAGGTGTGGGAGAATAAAACTGAGCTCTGGAGAAATGTTTGGCTAGAGTTTCCCCTACAATATGTACCAGTTCCGACTTACATACAAATTCAACTTAAGAACAAACCTACAGTCCCTATCTTGTACGTAACCCGGGGACTGCCTGTATAGAATGACTCACAATTCACACAGGAGGGAGCAGGAGAATGTGTACATGGTTAGGGAACACATGATATAATTTTTGCTGCCATGTTTCTATTTCAACATAGCTGTTGTTAACTCAGTTCCAGTCTCAGTGTGACAGGTCCCAAATGTCATTCAATTCTAGCACATTTATTAGGCTTTCTTACTCTGAGATTGTACTCTCTTAGTCATACTGTACACACCATATTGTTGGATGATAAATATAACTGTGGGGAATTTAGTCATCCACCCCACACTGAGACAAAAAGATATTTTTTAAAAAGAAACACAGCAAGATCTAAGCTTATAACCTTTTAAACATAATGCAAAGATAGTTCTAATATTTGATTCCTCCCCTTAGATTTTAGGAGGGATATGACAAAAGCAACAGATGCATTGACTTTCTCTCCTGTAATGTGGAAATGTAATTTCTGCTTTAATATTTTAAAGAAGCTTATAGACAGAATGAACAACAAACACGGACCTAATCAATTTTAAGATTGAGCTCACTCTGGTTAAAATGAAGGTGAATCAGATCACCATGCCATCAATACTGATTCTGTAGTACTGGAAAAAATCAAGTTAACCTGTAAGGCCACAGTTGCAGCAACATTCCCTCCTACCGGTTGCTCAAAATGCTGTTCTGTTCCCTTACATAAAAGCCAACCTTATATTTTATGGTGGAGCTCTCTCCCTTATTCAGCATACAAATGCCTTTATCATATCCCTCTGCCCTCACCTGAGCCACCATCTTTAGGCTTTTTAGTCCTTAAACTTATTCTAGGGGCTATTCATTCTCATTTTAGTTTCATGTTTTCATGATTACTTTCTTCTCTGATACTTTCTTCTAATCAGAGTGACATGCTTATAAATCCTATAAATCATTCTTTTCATTATCTACCCACTACTCTCATCCTGTAGCCCTTTCTTGAGTGCCCCATCATGATGCATAGTGCTTGTTCAAGCCCTCTCAGTCTTAGCTCCTGGGTAGTTTTTCCCCTGCCTACCCAACTTTGGCTGCCTTCAGACTGTTGCTCACCTTCTTCCAGTTGCTTTTCTCTCTGAACTGCTTGGGTCTCCAGACATTGGAGGGTCAGGGATCCTTGACCATGGGTACTGACAATCTCTGTGATGTGATGCTGCTCGGCACTTTTAACATCTGCAAGTTTCTCCTGAATTTGAACCATTTCAGAAGTTGTATATTCACTCAAGCACTGGAGCTGCTGGCCTTCCTGGAGCTAGTGAAGAATTTCTTCTGTGGAACACCATATTCCTTTTTGAGCAACCAGATGGCTTCTCTACTGCTCAGAGACTAAATCCTTCCACTTGTCCTATAGTCACTGGGTTTGTTCCCATTGCTTGGGAAGTTCAGACAAGACTGCTTTCATGTGGGCCTGTAAATAACCTAACTTTTCAATAACCCTATAGAGATCTTTTCACATACCTTCCCGGTAGGGTGACTGTCATCCCATTTCTAAACCCTCCTACAGGTGTCCCTGCTTTCCTTATAAATGGGCAAATTGTACAGTATTTTCCGCCTTTTTTGCTCCCATCAGTACTCAAGGATAGAACTGCTGGCCACTTCCTTGCTCACCGCCCACCCACCCACCAGCAGTGGGTGGAAGGGTCCAGTGGCTGATGATGAGGGTGAGTGTACAAAGCTGGCGGTTAGGCAAAGCTGCTGTGGATGAAGCCAACCACTCTGTATGCTCATCCATCAGTCCATGCCAGTTGCAAGACCCACTCCCTGCCCCATCTTGCTTCTGGCTGGCGTTAGCTAAGCGCTTCAAGCTGTGGTGGTTATTGAGTGTGGGCAGGCACCAGGTGCTATCCAGTTATGTGTTGCTGCAGCTGCCCACCCATTGGCCTTTCAGGGGCTCCCCCTCTTTCTGTCCTCTCCCTGATTTTGCCGTTTTACCCCCCAACCCTGCTGCTTCTCCATATCCCCCAACAGAGTGCATCCCACTTTCAGTACTGTGCAAAGAACTGGCTCCTGGTAGGCTGGTAATCTCAGTTCACCAATAGCTTGGCTGGTAGGGTGTTTCTTTCCCCTACTGTATCTGGCAAAGCTCCACACAGTGCCAGTACGAAGAAATCTCTCTACTCCTCAGCTAAGCTCCAAGGGTATGACTACATAGAAACATTATTTCAGAATAACAGCCCACTGGCTAGCGTGCACATGGCCTTGCTCCAAACACGTCACCTTCGACTGAGCCGAGAACTGTCACTCTCAGCTCACAGTATCATCTGGGATGACTGACCGTCTCTCTTTATTCTCCACAGCTGAATTAACTGAAAGATGGGGCAGTCAACACCACCAAGGACAGTCTTCCAAGCCCAAGGGACCCGCAGGCACTGGAGACCCATCGATGAGTTCCAGAGGGAGCACCTTGTGGCACTGCAATCCCTGGATTGACCGCAAGCTCCAGGTAGACATCCAGCTGGGGTGAAACACCTGATGGGAGCTGCTGGAGTAGGGCCATACCATATGTGCAGCCATGCAATCCCTCATTGCCAGCATGATGCCTGCTCCTGCTCTTCCTGTAGCCCCTCCTCCCACTCCCACTTCCACTCCTGTTCTTACTCCTGCCCCTGCTCCTCCCACTTCTCCTCCAGCACCTCCCTCCCTGTGGCCTCTGTGACCCCCATACCTGTGGCAGTGGGATCACCACAGCCAGGCACAACTCCCAGCCCCAGCACCTGAGCCTCTCCTCCCCCTTCCTCCTCCCCCTTTCAGCTCTTTCCTCCCGCATCCAAGCTTGTCATCGCCCTCCTCTCTTTCTTTTCTCCCCTCTCCCAGATTCTTTCCCCAGTATCTCCCATGTTACTGTGACCCAAAATAAAAAGAAACAGATTTTATTTTTTTCCAAAACAAAGTTTTTTTAAATCATCTTAGCAGCAAAGGTGTTGGGGGAGAGAAGGAAGGGGTGTGGGAGGAAAGGCACAGATGGGCGATGCACAGACCCCTAATGGGGAGGCCCAGGGAAGAGTGTCTCTGGGGCCCCTATGAGAAACTCTCCCTCAGGGCTTCCTGGACCTGTTGGATGGCAGCTGTGTCCCTCACCATGCAAATGGGCATGTCCACATCCCCAACTCTGGTGGTGCAGTTGGGGGAGAAAGTTCTGACGTGCAGCTTCTGGAAGATGGTTGAGTTGTGGGTGTTGTTCACCTTCCCGACCACCAGACAGAGATGTTCGTAAACTGGCCTGGGTGGTCCATGACAGCCTGCAGGACCATGGAGACGCACCCCTTCCAGTTGATGAAGAGAGATACCCATTGGACGAGGGCCCAGATGGGGATGTGGGTACTGTCAATAATCCCCCCGCAGCTGATAGCGTCCACGTTGCTGAGGTGGATGATCCTGCACAGCAGGATAGTGTTGATGATCCTCACCACCTGCAGAAGGAGTGAAACAGAGATTCACAGGAGTGCCAGGACTCTTTGGAGGTCCCCTATCCCCACCCCCTATTTCGCCCTCCACCTCACACCAAGAGCAACCCCCCATTTGCCTCATCCCACAGCTGGGCTTTGTGAGGGTGGGACTTAAAAAACCTCCCAGGGAGAGAGTTTCCACCACCTTTCCAATCCCCTTTCCCTAGGGAACCCCATTCCAGCAGTCCACTCCCCTTACTTGGAACAATAGCCTGAGAGCACCATAGCTGCAGGAGCACAGCCCTGATGGGTGATCTCCCCATGCCAGACTGGTTCCCCACGGATCGGTAGCTGTCTGGAGTGGTGAGTTTCCAGAGGGCCATGGCAACCTGCTTCCAGAGGGGGATGGTGGGTCTCATGTGAGTGTCCCATCGCCTAAGGGCAGGGGAAAGCCACTCACAGAGCTCCAGAGAAGGTGTCCTTCCTCATCCTGAAATTCTGGAGCCACTGCTGCAGTCTCATCAGATCCGAGAAGAATCTCCAAGCAGAGCAGGGGGCTGGGTTCCTGCAGGACCTGGACTTCAGCCCAGAGGCAACTCCGGCTCCATGTCTGGCAAGCTGAGGTGTCTGCAAAGGCTGCCACAGCAGGCAAAAGAAAAAGGCTTTGCTGTCCCTCAAGGAGGTAGGCAAAGGAAAAAAGCCTGAGATACGACTGTACCAGGGGGCTCCTTTTAAGTAAGAGCTTCAGATAGCCTCCTGATGCCCTGCCTGAAGCAGTTTCAGGTGGCCCTAAATTTGAGTCAGCATCTAATCAGCATGGATGCTCTATTTTGAAATAGCTCAGTGCTATCTTGATGAGCTTTTTGTGTATAGATGTGCTATTTCAAAATAAGGTATTTTGGAAGGTAAAAGATAAGGTAAAAACTATCTAACTACACCATGGCTACGTCTAGATTGCATCCCTTTTTCGTAAAAGGGATGCAAATTAGATGTATCGCAATTGCTAATGAAGCGGGGATTTAAATCTCCCCTGCTTCATTAGCATAAAAATGGCTGCCACTTTTTTCGGCATGGAGCTTTGCCGGAAAAAAGTGCCAGTCTAGACGTGGATCTTTCAGAAAATAAAGTCTTTTCTGAAAGATCCCTTATGCCTTATTTTAAGAGGGATAAGGGATCTTTCGGAAAAGGCTTTATTTTCCGAAAGATCCCCGTCTAGACTGGCGCTTTTTTCCGGCAAAACTCTGTGCCGAAAAAAGTGGCAGCCATTTTTATGCTAATGAAGCGGGGGGGGATTTAAATCCCCACTTCATTAGCAATTGCAATACGTCTAATTTGCATCCCTTTTACGAAAAAGGGTTGCAATCTAGACGTAGTCCATGGTCTTTTAACAGGAGAAACAGTCAACTTGATTTCAATCTGGACATTTATATGGTGTTTGCACTGCATAGTTATTGTTGATTGCCATTCTTGCTTAAATATAAATAATTTTACCAAGTTTCCCATATTCAGCCTAGGAAAATATGGTTACCTTACTGTCCCCAGACCCACGAGAGTATTTTCACCAGTTCCACTGAGAAATCTCTTTCCTCAAGAACTTCCTCCCAATGTTCTGGGGCCTCCTGATCAAACCCTCATATGCCTAATTAGACTAGATGTTCCTTAACTAATTAACTACTGCCCAGCTACCCAGGTAATTAACTACTCACAACTGAATCTGGGTTGTCTCATTCTCCTTAGCAGACCTTGTCACAGGTAGGCTGGTCCCTGTCTCCTCTAAAAGGAGGTAGATGACATGAGATTTGATTTCAAGTTCATAGCTATTTATGTATTTGACCAAAATGCTCTTTTCACTTATCACTTAGTGTCAATATAATGATTCTTAAATGTCAATGTATAAGTAAAAAGCTAAACTGTAAACCAAAACCTAGTCATCATTAGCATTGTAGATTGGCCAAGATTGCTACTCTGAAACATACTGCTATTGCTGCAATACGAAGTATGCAATGTCAAAGGCTATGGCATACACTCTTTAAATTATGTACTTCTGGTACACCAATGCACCAGTTATCTAGCTAAGCCAAATAATTTAATTGCATAAACAAGCAAACAAACATGTAATGTGTCAAACTAAAACATAAATGGAGCCATGCCAGGAATGGATTTGTCCCTGCGCCTACAGGAATTGGGTGTCATATTGAATATGAGTCAGGAAAGAGTAAAAGTGTAGACTTAATATGTAAAAATGAAGGGTTATAAACAAACTATTAAAGTAAGGATTGCACAGTTCAACAAAACGGCAAGGGAAAGAATCTATTTTTTCTATTGGTCCATGGAAGTCTGATAGTTATGGGTTTATATGCAATTGTGTTTCTATTATATTGCCAAAAAAACTGTTTTCTAAGTAAGGGGTTTGGGTTTTTGCCATTCTACAACTACAAATATTTTGGTTTTGGCTATGTTTAATTTAAATAGAGGATTGTACTTCGTGGTCTGTGAATTAGGAAGATGTGCCTCGCTATGAAATAGGAATGGCAAAATCATAAAGGCCAGAGACTCAGTAGTGTGCACTTGAGAGGAGTCAGGGGGAGTAGCTGGTGTGGCTGTAGAGCAAAGGGACTTTGTCAGCAACCAGAAAAAGTTGCTCTATAGCTCCACCCTTGATGAACATCTCTGCTTCAAGAGCAGTAGAAGTAAAAGATGTTTACACAGATTCTGCTTCTGAGCGTAACTGCCTTGTTTGTGTTCTTATCCTCTTATCTGTATTTCTGGTACCCTTTCTTCCATTTATTCCAGCGTTTTAGAATGCTGGCTACAAAATCCAAGAACCAATGATCACACATACTTGCAGGTTGTCATGCCTATGTAAGAAAATAATGGGTGTGTCTAGTCTACAGGGTTTTGTCGACAAAAGTGGACTTTTGTCGACAAAACTATACCTGCGTCTACACTGCCACTGAGTTCTGTCGACATAATTTTGACAGAACTCGGCAGTTTTGTCGACAGCAGTAAACCTCATTCTACGAGGAATAACGCCTTTTGTTGACAAACAAAATACAGGACTATGTAGCACTTTAAAGACTAACAAGATGGTTTATTAGTTCTGTTGACAGAAGGCATTATTGCATCTACACTGTCCTTTGCATCTACATTTTCATGTCGACAAAGCGGCTTACTTTGTCGACAGAACTGGTTGCAATCTAGATGCTCTTTGTCGACAGAAGCTTTGTTGACAGTATCTGTTGACAAAGCCTCTGATGACAAAACCCTGTAGTCTAGACGTACCCAGTGAGACTGGCCATGTGGGGTCTGACCATGGTCGATTCAGACCAGTATCCTGTCTTCCAATAGTGAACAGTGACAGATGTTTGAGAGGGAATGAACATAACAACCCATAGCAATGAGTTATACAGGTTGACTCTTTAGGCGTGTGAAGTACTTTCTTATGTTTATTTTAAACCTCATCATCATCAACAACAACCATGGGCTCAACACCCATTGGTGTCCGATGCCTTCCTCACTATTTCCTTCAATCTTTCCCTGTCCAGTGCAGAGTGGCTTAGTTTCTGTAGACTACCTCCGCACCAATTTACTATATCATCTACACATTCTCTGTGGGGTCTGCCTCTCCTATTTGGACCATCCATTATGCTGAATACCAGGATATTCTGGTAATACTTTTCGCTCATTGTTCATTCTGCATATATGCCTGAATAGCTGTAACTTCCGTTGTATAATCTTCTGTAGTAGGTTCTCTTTCAGCTCTATCTTCCTATATAATTCCTTGTTGGTGACCTTCTGCAATCTTATTCTCAGGATCTTTCTATAATAACTCCTCTCAAATGCCAATATCCTTCTTTTCAAATTTTTCATTATCACCCATGTCTCACATCCTTACGACATGCTGCTAAATACACACGTTTTCAAGACGCTCATCTTCGTTCCTAAGCTAATCGCTTTACTTTTCCCGATCTTATCCATCGTCTTCAAATTCACTCTTGCTTTCACTATTCTAGTCGCTATTACCTTCTTACAGTCTAGATCATACTTCATGTTGCTC